GCTCACGCTCGCGGGCGCTCCATCGTGTTGTCGGTTTTTTCGCGAATCCCTTTGAGTGTTACATTACAAGTCAGTCAGTCAGTCGAGCGGCGTCGTAACGAGCATTCACGAGTTCTTTAGATAAGAGTAGCGTATTAAATGAAACAAAGATAACACAACCTCCACGTCCGACATATTGAATGAAATGAATGGAGCACACATGAGCACGGTCGAGCCGAGCGTTCAAAACGAGCATTCGATACACCTCACCAGTTGTGGTGTAATGTAACATGCTCGCCGCGAATGTTACATTACGAGTAAATGTTACAAGTCAGTCGCCACCTTAAGAGTTATATCTGCCTCTATTTGTGCTTGATGCGTATTATATCACGTTTGCAATTGTGAACCATCTTCTTTTCAGAATCAACAAATCAAAAGGCAATGGAAAATCAAGATTACCATCAAAATATCAGGATGAAATAGAGCAAGATGAGGGTTTGGCACTCCTTATTCCTGACATTCAGGAAACTGCCAATCTTGTACAGGTAGGCAGAACTTGTGGGGTGTGAAATATTCAGAAAAATTGTATAGAATTAATCAGAAGCTAATTAAATTATTTCATTTCTTAGTGAATGCAACTTTGGGACAGGTTGCATCTTAGCAATCCGATTTAGTATGGGGAATAACAGGTTTGTCTGTGACTTCTGTTTAACTGTGGATTGCAAGGGTTGAAAGTGGAAACCACATTACAGTGAGTGAAGGATCAACTTCTCCAAATATAAAACTGAATAATGCGAAGTCCTTATCTCTCCAATTGGATTGTTTGATTTTGTGCTTTTTGCATTCAACCGATTGGTTTCAGGAAGTCTGAAAGGAAACTACTTAATATCCACATCAAACGTAGCTTGTATTTATGTTCCCACCAGTCACCACCTTAATTTGTAACTCTGTAGAATTAGAGGTGGCGAGTGTGGGAAAATTAATCATTAGGAAGGTCATAACAGAGTTGCTATATTGTAGCTCTCATGTATGCCCATCTTTTACAGATGTTAAGCAATTAACACTACACAAGTGATTTATTTTTGTTAGAGGACTATTCTTTTGTAAAAATAAATTTTATTATGGAACCCTGCATAAAACTATTAAAAATGACTAAAACTATAATATAAGTTACAAAGATGGAATTTTACCTTCTAGATGGTCCATTTATAGATGAATGAAAGCTGTGATAACATGATGCATTGTTTTTAATGTAAATATTCACTTTAAAAAGTAACATATGTCACTCCACTCACTACTTGCTGAAATTGATACCTTTCCCACATATCTGTCATTGCTTTCTTTCAGGTGATCCAAATTATTTTGGGCAAATACCCTGATTTTAAAAAAGTTCATGAGGAAATTATTCTGTATATGTTACAGTTCCCAACATATAGATTATACAGTAACAAACAAGTTGGAAAATGTATGCATACTGAATCTGTTTTTGAACATTTCTGTGTTGTTTGTAGATTTTCAATTCTTAAATGATAGTGTTTGATGTTCTGTTATAAATAGTGTAATCTAGGCGGGGTGGTCGATCTGGTACCTCAGATACAAAATTTGATCAAATTGAGTCCAATGGCTCTCAAGTTGCAAGATGGCACAGAAGAAAGATCACTTTTGTTTAATTATCTAACAACTACCAAACACATAGAAAAGTCTATTGATGTGTGTTATATTTATTTATCTCAGCTCCTTTTGTTCAGAAAAATTTTCACTCCATTAAATATTAGCGAATTATGCTCGAGATGCATGCAGAAATTCATGTAAGTCGTCACGTAAAGTGTCTTTTATTGTAGTCTGATTTTAACCAAAATTGGAATGTACTGGCAAATTCTAATAGAAACTCCACAGTATAAAATTTCTTGAGGTCTTGAATTATTACTTTCAGACAGGCAACATGGCATAGCTAATTGACGCACCTTCATTGCAAATGTGCCTATAAAGGTACATTTCATCGTATCATATATATCAGTACTGCTCCTCAATCTTATAGATATTTACTTAATTAGAAGCTTTTGACTGGTATAGTTCGTACATATGTCTGTGCATAAAAATTGCTGTTTGCTGCATATTTTATTTAACAACATTGTAAGTAGCTCAGATTATATAGCATCAAAGATGATCTAACTAGTTATTAGATAGGTTCTGAAAGACAGATCATGACCAGTTTTGATGTAAAGAATAAGGAAACTGAGAAACAGCTGCATACATGCCATGACATAAGTGGGGCAAGGGCTCTCCTCCACAGCAACTACAGAAGCATGCACTGTGAATTAATCAAAGTCAGATCATGTCAGGGCTCCCTAACCACCTCACTTGATTTACTGGTACGAAAAGGGTTAAATATTGATTAGGGATGAGTTATAGAAAGTATTGAAAAAAATATTTGTAGATATGATGTACGTTTGTAGTTTGATGAATCGTTTCAAAGAAGCGCGATTAATATAACATTAGAAGAATATAAAATGCATGTAGGTTTTAATTGGCTGTACATCTTTCTACTTATTTCTGTAATTAAATTCTTTTAACATCCCACGTGGTGTTTTGTATTCCTTTGTTTCATTTACAGGTTGCTACTGATCGTCTTGTACTAGAAGATGATGTTGAAGCACCAACAGGGAAAGACAGTTTAGTGTCAGGCAACTTAGAATTTCCAATGCAGAGATCGGTTGAAGAGAGGTACTTAGAAGTCATGAAGCAGTTACAGTTTGGTACGTATACTTGTCATTATATTTATGGATAGTAAAACGCATTTGATGGCAAGCAGAAAATTACTTAATTATTGTGTGTTACAAATGAATGCTTGTATTATCTGTTAGAACTTAACAAGTTTCACAAAAAATTATGTTTTTGATTGAATTAAGTCAACATTCCTAAACCCCTGCAAATTTACAAGTTATATAATACGTGAAGATATCCGTCTTCTGGGTTATTGCGCTGTGTAGTCTGGTCGATGTTAACCAATAATACGTTTTTAACATTTCTTTGTTCCTTGTAAATTAGTGCCTCATTAGTTCTCCTTAAACTCTTTTTTGTTGAGTTCATAGTACGATATATATAATTATTAACATTTCATTATTTACTGTTCATATACATTATATTTTGTTAATTTTATTGTAATTGTTACGTAATCTGTAACAGTTGATATTGTTTCTCTAACCCGGTAGCAACTGAAAGTCTAAAAAAAGTTGCTATTTCAAGTCTGTTGTTGTTCGTCTCATACAGTAACAGTACATCATGCAGAGTAATCATCTTTCCAGACGTGCAAGTATTATATGTGTATAATCAAGCACAGTAACAATTTTATGGAGCATTTATATTTTCGTTTCTAGATACATACGAGATGATAACCGAGTGCAGTGAAGGCGGATACCAGTTTGTCGTTTCGTATCACTTTGAGTCAAATATGCGTGCAGCAGGCGAAAGAAGCCACCCATCAAGAGTGAAAAGACTGGCACAAGAAACAGTTACACTGTCGACTTCTCTTCCATTATCCTATAGCAGTTCCGTGTTTGTTCGCTGTGATACTGATCGTCTTGATATCATGAAGGTATGACAGTTTTCCCTCATTATCAAAAAGATAAGCCCAGTTCTGATTATGTCATACATTTAAAGATAGCGAGTATATAATAATTCCAATATTAGTATTGCTGACGTTTGAGCCTCTGGAAATGCTATTTGCATCAACATTTCTTCCAGCACTGTAGTAATAGATATCCTGCTATGACTCACTGTGCATCTCCACTACACATGAACTGTGCGAGGATGAACTACGTCATTGCTTGAGTGAATGGAGCAGGAGTAAATTGCATTCTGAAAAAAATTTCCTCTTTCAAACAGTGGTTTTGTCACATGAACGTGTACTGTACTGATAAGTTATAGTGGAAGCTTGTGATTCTCCTTAATTTGGTTTTCATTTTCTTCTCATAAGTGGGTGGTGTTTGCATAAATTCGGTTTTGAATAGGAAAAGTTGTCTGATGCACATCCTCCAAAAATAGGCAAAATATTACACAGTGCCCAGATATTTCTTGATAATGTTCTGAATTTTATTAGGTTGGGGCTAAAGTTCGCTGTTACCTCCTGAAAATTTTAAATGAGAACTGTATGACACATCGCCATATAAGAAAATTTAGCCGTTACAAGAAGTGCATGTGGTCATCCACTTAAAAACAAAACTGAATATTAGTAATTACGTTAGTTTGATGTTGCACAGGCTGTGATACTCAAAAGAATCAAGAAATGCATGCAGATCTGTAGTGGGGAAGGCCACTTGAAAAGTGACAACCTAAGTAGATGGAGGATAATATTAAAATATATCTTAAGAAAATATAGTTATGGTAATGTGGATTTGATTAAATTTGATCATACTTGAACTTGCATTTCTTGGCATTTAGAATCTTAAGGTTGTGATGGCATAATACAGTGTTTGATTAAAATATTGGTGTTCATGGCTCCAAATCAGTCTGTACGTGTCATTAATGTAATTTTGTTTACTTAGGTATTGATAACTGGGCCTGCTGAAACACCGTATGCCAATGGTTGCTTTGAATTTGATGTGTATTTCCCATCTGACTATCCCAATTCTCCAATGCTCATCAACTTGGAGACGACTGGTCATCACACTATCAGGTTCAATCCAAACCTCTATAATGATGGCAAAGTGTGCTTAAGTGTGCTTAATACATGGCATGGACGACCAGAAGAAAAATGGAATGCTCAGACTTCAAGTTTCTTGCAGGTATTTAAACCAAGAATTATGAATTATTCCAAATAAAATTATTAGCTAACAGATTAAGCTTATTCCTCCTTCTCACTGTTGTCTTAATGGCAAATTAATTTTATTATTAAAACTTTTACACATTACAAAAAATTTATTTACAAATTTGTCATTAACTAGTTAATTACTAGGAAGGAAATGCGCATAGCTGCTATATTTTTGATTATGAAGAGATGATTTTTTATGCAGTAGAATCCCAAATATCTGACCTTCAGTTATCCGACTTGCCATGTCAGATTGCTCCATTTTATAGACGGTCAACTCAGCACTTAGCAGAATGAATGATACTCCCCCAACATGCACCTTTTACATTTTATGTAACCCTGCTGCAAAGAAAAGGAAGGAGGCTCGGAAACAATACCCATTACTGAATTCTTTTAAAAAAATAACTTCTTTCATTTACAGAATTACATTATGTTAAATTCTGTTTTTGTTTGTGAAATTTTATTTGATGCTGTATTGTATTTTCTTAATTTTTCATAATTTAGTAATGTCGTAAAGTGATTATAAATTGAGTTTATATTTATCCTCATCTTTATCATTTCTCATATCATACAACATTTTTGATTATCTGACTGTCCTTCGGTCCTGTTAGGTCAGATAATTTGGACTGTACTGTACTTGCTAATTCAGCAGTCATGTGGTCAAATTACAAAATCAGTATGAAGAAAGTGGGTTTCATTGCAAACACGTACAAGTAAGGAAAGTAAATATCAGTCAGCTGCAAAATGCCTGAAATTTGCAAGGTTGTTGCCCTGCAAAATAGACATTTTCGCTCTTTTTCCCTTGTAGGTTCTGGTGTCTATACAGTCCCTCATCTTAGTTCCGGAGCCATACTTCAATGAACCAGGTTATGAGCGATCTAGGGGAACTCCTTCTGGCAACCAGAGTTCACGAGAATACAACTCCAATATTTGTCAGGCTACCGTTAAGTGGGCTATGCTGGAGCAAGTTCGTAATCCATGCCCATGTTTTAGGGAGGTAAGTATGGCAGTAGGACTGAATATTTAAAATCATCCACATTCTGATCTTTTTTTCATTATAAAAATCTGATTTGTTATATGCCTGTAACTTAGGTAATTGTGGGTAATATAACTATGTTTTTACAGGTCATTCACACACATTTCTGGATGAAGCGTCAAGAAATTGTAAATCAGATTGAGGGCTGGATTTCAGACATGGAAACACAGTGTGGAGACAGACGTACTGGAAGAGCCATTTCTTTGAATGCATTGGCTCTCAAGGTAATGTTTGTATTATTGTTTTACGTCTTTCTGTAGCCGCTAATATTGCTCTTCAGATCAAATCACTGTCACATACATCTGTTTACATTCATATATATTTTTATTTAATTGGCATAAATTTTTAACATTTAAAAGGAAGAGGAATGTGTAATTTGGTTTTACATATATCTGAATAAATTCACTAATTAAGCAAC